TGCCCTCCAATCCCCCCAACTCACTGACCTCTAAAACCCCCACTACCGCTGACTCACTGACCCCCCAATCCCCTGGCACCACCCTGACTCACTGCCCCCCGAGCCTCCTAATTCACTGACCTCTAAAACCCCCAATACCCCTGAAACATTGACTCTCCCCCCGAGTCCCCTCATATTGCCCTGGCTCACTGAGCCCCACCCACATCTCTGATCCCCTCAGACTCTCTGACCCCTCCAGTCCCCCAAGGCTCACTGACACCCCCCCAATTCCTCCATACCACCCAGGCTCACTAACTGCCCAGTCCTCTGATCCCCTTTCACGGATCCATAGGGTCAGTGCTATGCCTCCAGCTTTTGAACAGTCTGGTGGAGGAACCCCTTAGATGTGCCAGACCCCCCAAAGATCTTGAGGGGAGGCCACACGGTCTCAGAGCCTCCTGAGACTGACCCTCTGGGCCTTCAGCACCCCTGCTTCACCCTGTGAGCTCTGCTCAGTGAGTCCGACTGACAAACTCCTGGTGGAGACTTGTGCACTTGTCAGGGACTCATGCACCTCAGCCAGCATTTGCAGTGATGCTCACGCAGTGTTGTCAAAACAGTGGGGTTTATTAGTCAGCTGGAACGCAGCATAGGAAGTGCTTAGGTTAGCACAGTGCACTGAAGGTTAAAACAAAGTCCTCTCTGGTCAGCCCCGAGCAATTCACCAGCCGAGCTGTATTGAGCTCCGTTTTCAGGCTCTGGGTCTCTCTCTGACTTCAGTTCCCAGGTGAGAGAGGCCCCAGCTTCCTCCATAACCTACATCTCCCGCCTTTCCAGCCTTTGTTCTCAAGCTGCTCAGCTTCCCTGCTGAGAGGCGGGGAAATCTTCCTCTGGGTGGTTGGTTGCTAGGTGTCAGCGGCCCGGTGTTTGGGCTTTTCAGCGTCTTCTTGGGTTTTCCAGTGATATGGGTCAGCCTAGGCCAGTCCTTTTTCAGACTCATTCAGTCCGCTCAGACAGCTCGGCAACACATACACACCCATGTCTGTTAGCTGCCCTGAGAGCAAACTTAATCCTTTCCCTCCACTCCCCACTGGGTAGCAATGCAAAGTCTCGGGGAAACTGAGGCACACACACAGACTTCATAAAAATATTACCAAAAGTTCCCACTTTGTCACAAAGGAAATGATCTGGGGGCCGCAACCCCCTGCTCTGGGAGGTGTCACCTTTTCCTGAGGTTCCCTCCACACCAGCCCCATGGGGCTGCCCTTCTTACCTGCATTTCCCCAGCACACCCCTTCCCTCCACCCTCGTCTGCAGCTGCTTCCTCCACCTCCCACCCCCCATGCATATCAAGCTCTCCCTTGCTGGGGCTTCAGAGAAACAAGAGGGAGGAGCGTGGCCAAGTGTGGTGTCAGCACCTTCCCGGCCAATACTGAGGACACTGCTGTTTCCTGGGATTGTTGGACTCATCTGCTGGCTGATTTATAGCAGGGCTTGGCTGCAGGACAGCACGGTCTGCCTACCTGCCCCTGAGTGGTGGATGCCTTGGCTGTGATGGCAGAGGCAGGAACGGGCGGAGGAAGGAGAGGCATCGTGGGTGCTCACCTGGAGGACAGTTCAGGGGGTCGCCCCAGGGGGAGAGAGGGGGCTGGTGAAGCTTGCTGCAGGAATATGAGGACTGGCCAGTTTATTGGCTAGGAACTCTGCCTTTGGATGAGCCAGGAGCCAAGGCACAGAGGTGGGAGAGCTGGGGTTGGGGAAACCTCTCCCACCCTGTGCCCTTTACCCTTGGGACGCGAAGCTGCTGTCCCTTTGCATGGGAGGGGGACTGCATAGGGATCCAGCATGTGTATAGGCCAAGCATAGGGGGAGCTACAGCCACAGGGGACTAGTGTGCCATGGTGCCCACCAGCCCTTACAGGCAAACCTCCTCCTCGTCCCCCCTCCCCTGCACCAGCCACCAGCCAGATCTGACTTGCACGGGAAGGGGCTGCTCTGCACAAGTCACGTTGGGGAGCCAGGCCTGCCTCTGCGAGAGACGAACCTTGGGCCTGTCCTGGGTGCTGCCTCCCCTTCAGCTGTGCAGGTGCTACCCTGCACCAGCGCTCGGGTGGCTCCGCACCCCAGAGCTGGCCCGGCGACTCGAGCGTGGGAGCTTGCGGCAGTTCCCGCTTCGCCAGCGGTTCCAGCCAACATAATGAAATGGGCCGAAGCCAGAAGCAGCACGCCAGGGCTAAACAGTCTGGGCACTGCATCCATGGTGAAGAGGGGTGAGGGGTGGCATTGGGGACAGCTAGCCAAGGGGAGGTTGCCAAGCCAAACAGTAGCAAAGGTGGAGGAACTTGTGTGAGAGCGCGAGAAACCCAGTTCAGGTTCTTCCCCTCCCTGCAAGGGGCTGCTCCCACAATCCACTTGAGGGCGTGTTGGGAGTGTTGCTCCTAGGGCTCTCTCTGGAAACAATAAGTTTGTCTATCTGCTTATCCTGTTCCTTTGTGTTTGTGGAGCTGGCTGGCTGGCGAAAGGGCACGTGCGAGCATGGAACGCAGAGGCCATGCTAAGGGAGAGGGAGGGCCAAAGAGAACAGCGTAGGGGTGCAGGACAGCCAAAAACACTCAGCTGGACCTAGGTAGGGAGATATACCCTAGAAAAGGGCAAGAGAAAGCCAGCTCCAGTGGGAGGGGGGAAGAGCGCTAGGGAGCGACAGGAGCAAATCAGCAGTGACCCGGCTGGGGCCAGCTGAGCCTCCTTCCCTCGACCCACCGGGGGATGCTGAGTCAGGGTATTATTTATCATTACATTAAGACTGGAAGACAGGAGGAGCCAGACCTTGGAAACCAGCACCACTTGCTACAGCACAGTCCCTGGCCAAAGCAAACCTGCGCTTCAGCTGGGGGCTGTTGCGTGATGGTCACAGGTGGGAGAAGCGTGGAGGCCTCAGCCAGTCAGCGGTGGGGAAGGGGTCTTTTCCTCCGTCTTGTTGGTTGGATCCCGCTCGTCCTCTGCCCTTCCCCCACTCCTTCCTCCCCCCGCCCTCCCCTTTGGCTCTTGGCTTTCCTTTCTGGGTTATTGAATATGCAAGTGTCTCTCGCTGACACCATCTCTGATCCCTTAATCCAGCTGCCCTGGTAATTCTGCAGCCCCAAATCAGCTCAGATCTCTCCACAGACGTAAGCCTCCTTCTTCAAGGGTTTGCTTTTCTTCCCTGCTCGCCCCCACCCCCACCCCACCCTGCCGCTTCTTCATCCTATTTCTGCCCTTCGGGTCTCTGCATTGGAAATTGGTTGGGGTTTAGCAGCAGAGGGTTTAGCAATATCTTTAGTGAGTGTCCCTGGAAAAAAAAGAAGAATGAAGAGAGAATCCTTAATCTTAAATAACTAAGATGCATTTTTTCTCTTATTTCTTCCTGCTCCCCCCACCCGTGCCCCAGTTGGAGAATGGGAATGTCTCCTTAGCCCTCAGCAGAGGGCACTCAGCCAAGGCTGGGGATGCACTGACAGCATAGTGGGAGAGGGGGTCAGTGTGAGAATGGGGATGTGTCAGCAGGGGGTGCTCCTGCGTGGAACGGAGAAGGGTAGATTGGGCCAGAGAAGGGAGACTGCAAATGGCTCCTTGGCACTAGTGGGGGATCTCTCACCCGAGTGGGGTGTGATGGCAGCCCCTGGGAAGAGGGGACTCCAGGATGGAGCAGAGAGGATGTTGGCTTGGTGTCGGTAGGGGGTGCTATTCTCCAGGTCAGGATGAGTCTCGGAGCCTGAGGGCTTGTCTACACTTACCGGAGGGTCCGGCGGCAGGCAATCGGTTTTCTGGGATCGACTTATCGCGTCTAGTGAAGATGCGATAAAATCGATCCCTGATCGCTCTGCCGTCGACTCCGGAAATCCACCGTGGCAAGAGGCGGCAGCGGAGTCGACGGCAGCGCGGCAGCGGTCGACTTTCCCCCGTCCTCACAGCCAGGTAAGTCGACCTAAAATACGCAACTTCAGCTACGGTATTCACGTAGCTGAAGTTGCGTATCTTAGGTCGGACCCCCGCTGTAGTGTAGGCCTAGCCTGAGAGTGGGGGCGGACAGCAATGTTTCCCTGCTACCAGTAGGGGGTGCTCTCCCACGCTGGGGTAAAGCAGCAAATGATCCTTTCCCCTCATCCTGATGAAGCTGGTTGGATTCTTTAACCAGCCTGGGCAGGAAATAGTTTGGTCTCCCTTCCTGGCAGTAGGCACCACAAGAGCACAAATAAATAAAATTAATAATACAGCACATGCTGCCCACGTCACATGGATGCAGCTTCTGTATACCTGTCCCATACCAAGTACAGCAGCCAACCGTTGCTGGAGGGCTCTGCCTGACAGCCCCCATCCGCCCTGTGCGAACACATCCCTCTGCTCCGGCATGGGCGTCTGGTGCTCACAATCCCCTCTCCCCCGGTTCCAGACGTCCCTCTCTGAGCCCTGCTTGCGAAGGCCGCGTTGTCCCCAACCCTCGCCTGCACCGAGACGAGGGAATTATTTTCGGAACGAGAGCGGTTATACAACCAATGAATTATTTATCATTTTGCATCAAGGAAAAAAACCCCATTTAGTTGGGATTCTTATTTATTTATCGTCGGCGTGCGCGCGTTTGTGTACGGCGCGATTTCCGTTCTCTACACCGGCAGCTGAAACTCCTTGGGGCTGGGTTGGCTTGGGTTGTGTTTTCTTTATGCTCTGGAGTTTTAAGCCGATCATAACACAGCCGTGTCCCTCCCTCTGTTCCATACCCCCCCCCCCGCAACCAGGCTGTGATTCCATTACATAACGAAACCCAAGTACCCTTCTGGCTATCACTGATACAAGATTATGTTGCAAGGGATCCCTTTGCCAAGGCTTATCAGCGTAGCAGGCAATACCGCCTCCCCCCACCCACAACGCTCTCTTTTCTGCTCCTCCCTGTCCCCAAGAAACTAACAACCCTAGCTGTCTTTTTCCGTATTTCAAAGCCCCCCTGATTGATGCCTCCTCTTGTCTCTCGTGTGTTTCCTTTCCAGATTCCGGTGACAGATGGATCTCTCGCTCGCTCGCTCTCTAGCTCTCTATATTTTTGTTTTCAAGATGTTTGATCTGAAGTTCTGAAGCATCTCGGAGGGGACCCAGGATAGGGGGAGGAGGAGCAACCCCGGGAGCCCAGCGACCGAAGAGGCAGCTCCTCCAAGTCACCTCGTGGTCGTGGGGGAAGGCGGGGAGGGTGTGTGTGTGGGGGGGTGTCGTTCCTGAGCCTTCAAGAAGATCTGTTGTTTAATTTTTGTTTTGTTTTAAAGAGAAGCACAGATTTCCACTCCCCCCTCTTTTTCCTGGATTGGGAGCGGCAGGAAGGAGTGGATTTTGCCCCCTGTTGCTCTACACCCCAGGGTTGGCACGGAGGGAAAGAAAAATGTTGGTGACGGCACCGGATAGAACTGAGGTGCCTGTGCCCTCCTATCGCTAACCAGCAAGGGAGCGTCGCCTCTCATCCCCTCCCTTTGCTCTTCGGAGGCTTGTTTTCTTTTTTGCCCGTGGGGGGAAGGGGGGCGCCGCATCTGAACATGCTGCGTCTGGGCTTGTGGGCGGCCGCCCTGCTCTGTGTGTTCTCCCCTGGCACGGTGCATGGCGACTGCTGGCTGATCGAGGGGGACAAGGGTTACGTGTGGCTGGCCATCTGCAGCCAGAACCAGCCTCCCTACGAGACCATCCCCCAGCACATCAACAGCACAGTGCACGACCTGCGCCTGAATGAGAACAAGCTCAAGGTGGTGCTGTACTCCTCCCTCAACCGCTTCAGCAACCTCACCGACCTGAACCTGACCAAGAATGAGATCTCCTACATTGAGGACGGGGCCTTCATGGGCCAGGCCAACCTACAGGTCCTGCAGCTGGGCTACAACAAGCTCACCAACCTGACGGAGGGCATGCTGCGTGGCATGGCCAGGCTGCAGTTCCTCTTCGTGCAGCACAACCTGATTGAGGTGGTCACACCCACCGCCTTCTCCGAGTGCCCCAGCCTGATCAGCATCGACCTGTCCTCCAACCGACTCAGCAGGCTGGAGGGGAACACCTTCACCAGCCTGAGCAACCTGATGGTGTGCGAGCTAGCTGGCAACCCCTTCAACTGCGACTGCAGCCTCTACAGCTTCCTCACCTGGCTGGTGGTCTTCAACAACGTCACCAAGAACTATGACCGGCTGCAGTGTGAGACCCCCCGGGAGTTCGCCGGCTACCCGCTCCTGATGCCTCGACCCCACCACAACCGCAATGCCATCACCATCTTCCAGTCCATGTGCCGGGGAGGCACCATCCCATCCCTCTCGAGGATCAACCCCACCCCCTACACGCCTGACTCCCAGAGAGACCTGGATGAGAACTCGGGGTTCAACCCCGGGGACTTCCTCTCTGTCGAGCCCCCGGCCTCCTCCACCACCGACTCCTCATTCAACCCCAGCATCAAGCTGCACCACGTGACCATCACCTCAGCCACCTTAGTGGTGACGATCCCCTCACCCTTCAGCAAGATGTATGTGCTGGTCCAGTACAACAACAGCTACGTCTCTGATGTCACGACCCTGAAGAACAAGAAGGAGTATGTCACCCTTAGCAAACTGAAGGCCCACACGGACTACACCTTCTGTGTGGCCTCCATCCGCAACTCCAAGCGCTACAACCACACCTGCCTGTCCTTTGCCACCAGGAGCAAGGGGAGGGAGGATCCAGTGCCCAATACCTCCACCACCACTCACTACATCATGACCATCCTGGGCTGCCTCTTTGGGATGGTCATCGTCCTGGGGGTGGTGTACTACTGTCTGAGGAAGCGAAGGATGCAGGAAGAGAAGCAGAAGTCCCTCAACGTCAAGAAGACCATCCTGGAGATGCGCTACGGCTCGGATATAGACACCAGCTCCATCGTCCACTCTTCGCAGAAGCTGGGCGAGCCACCCGTCATCCCTGTCTCGCGGATGTCCTCCATCCCTTCCATGATCGGGGAGAAGCTGCCCCCATCCAAGTCAATGGAGGCTGGGATGGAGACCCCCAAAGTTACTACCAAGGGCAACTATATTGAGGTGCGGACGGGTGGCGGGGATGCCCTGGAGAGAGCCCAGCGGGATGACGATCTGCGTGAGCTTGACAACGGCCAAGGCTCAGCAGCTGAGATCTCCACCATCGCCAAGGAGGTAGACAAGGTCAACCAGATCATCAACAATTGTATCGACGCCCTCAAGTTGGACACGGCCTCCTTCCTGGGAGGAGGGAGCGGCGTCGACTCAGACATGGCGTTTGAGTGCCAATCCATCCCCGCCGGCTCCTCGGGTGGGCTGGAGCGGCCTGGCTTCCTGTCGCCACCGTACAAGGAGAGCTCCCATCACCCCCTGCAGCGCCAGCTGAGCGCGGACGCAGCTGTGGCCAGGAAGACCTGCAGCGTCTCATCCAGCGGCTCCATCAAGAGTGCCAAGGTCTTCAGCCTTGACGTGCCAGACCACCCGCCAATGAGCAAGTCGGATTCCAAGTACATCGAGAAAGGCAGCCCACTCAACAGCCCCCTGGATCGTCTTCCCCTGGTGTCCCCGGGTGCCATCCACCACCTGGAGGTCAAACCTTCCTACCATTGCAGCGAGCACCGACATTCCTTCCCGGCCCTGTACTACGAGGAGAGCGCCGACACTCTGAGCCAGCGGGTGTCTTTCCTTAAGCCGCTCTCCCGCTCCAAGCGGGACTCCACGTACTCCCAGCTCTCCCCCAGACACTACTTCTCGGGCTACTCCTCCAGCCCCGAGTACTCATCTGAGAGCACCCACAAGATCTGGGAGCGCTTCCGGCCTTACAAGAAGCACCACCGGGAGGAGGTTTACATGGCGGCTGGCCACGCCCTGCGGAAGAAAGTCCAGTTTGCCAAGGACGAGGATCTGCACGACATCCTGGATTACTGGAAAGGCGTCTCCGCTCAGCAGAAGTTGTGACTCTCTCTTTAAAAGGAAAGAAAAAAACCCAACAACCACCAACAAAAGAACCACTTGACTGTGAACAAAAACCGAACAGGCCCCTCCCCCTATGACAAAAATGAACCAAGAACCGTTTCTTACAAAGTTTACAAAAAAAAAAAAAAAAAAAAAAAAAAAGCAAGAAAGCAAACAAAAAACAAACTCCCGCAATGAATTGTCTCTCCTGTGTTGTGGGGACCACTGTTCCTCCTGCAGCTGGTTGGGCGGAGCCGCCTGCTTTGACACTGTGGTAATGATGCTGATGGGCTAGCGGGAGGGAAGGACGAAGAGGGGGTTAGGCATGGGCGGGGGACAGAGAAGGATGCTAACCAGGCCTAGACTAAACCACTAACCATCGCTTTTATGTTCCTGTTGTTATTTTGTTCCAGATTGTGGGGGGTTTTAAGGATGGGGGTGGGGCTCCTGCGTACTCCCTTTGGGGGGCAGCCCCCACCAAGAGAAAATGGGGGATGTCACCAAACAAAGAGCCCCTCCCTGGCATTTTAAGGGTTTGGGGGTCTTCAAGGCTTTCTCCCACCTCCCCAAGACTCGTGGGGGTTGTACAGACTCTAGCATGTAACTGGAGGCTCTCTCTCCTTTTCCTCCACCTCGGACTCCATTAGGGTTCCCTGAGCTTGGGGTTTGGGTCTCCTGGCTCGTGGCCACATCAGCTTCCCTCGTTCACTGAGGAAGGGGAGGTAGGGTAAACAGCACAGGGCTCTCCCCGCCTCCGGTGCATTTCAGAAGAGAGGTCACCGGCTTTCTAAGGCCCTGGGGAGCCCCCACCCGCACCTGCAGCTGAACAGTCCAGTTGTCTTCCAGGAAATGGTGGGGAGCATGTTCTCTGGCATGGCAAAGTGGGGTTCGCTAATGGCAGGGTGATGGGGGAGTGGGGAAGAAGACGGGAATTCCCAACTGTGCTGAGATCTGAAGGGTTCCCCCTCTCACTCCCGCCCCAGAGCTGGGGAGGGGCACGCATCTCCCACCTCCTTCATTTGTGCTGCAGGTTCTGCACCCCCCCTTGTGCTTCGGGGGTGGGGGATCAGACCCTTGAGGAGGGCCTAGGGGAGGAATAACAATCACAGGATGCTCCTATGCCTCCTCCCACCCAGCTAGATCAGAGCAGGGCCCCCTCTCCCTGGGGGGTGGGGGGTAGAATGAGTGGATGTCACCAGGGGCAGCTCTCTATTGCCCATTACTCTGGATGTATAAAAAGGCTGAATCTGGAGAGGACAGTGTGTGGGACCTGTATTCCACACAAATGGGGCACATGCGCCTCCTATGGATAGGCGAGAGCTTTGAGAAGAGGGGGTAAAATATGGGAGGGAGGGAGAGAGAGTGGGGAATGGCCAGGGGAAAGGAGGTACAGCCCAGGAGATTGGTTCCAGGGCAAGGGGTGGGGGGGGTGCAGCCTTGGGGGATGATTTCCTGGGCCCTCCCTTTGTGGGCTCTGCCATGGAGGTGGTGTTGGGATGGGAGAGTTATCAGCTCCTGGGCTGAGCTCTCTCACCGCCCTCTGCAAAACTCCAACAGGCCTCCTCCTCCTCCGTATTGGGCTGGTCCTCTGTGCCACTCGCCACAGTGCCCACCCCTCAGAGGGAATCCTCAACGTGCCTGCAAACCCCACATGCCCAGCCCGCTCCCCTCCCAGCACTGCTCCCTGGGGCTTGGGCCCTAGCTCCCCGCCAACTGGGGAGAGGCGGGGGCAGCGGGGGGCTGCAGCCCACTGCCCTCCCGTCCCCCTGTCTCTGAACAAACCAACAAAGCACAATCTTTGGCACCCACCAAATCCCCGGCCATGTCCGTTGTGGGGGAGCCTGCTTGTGGGGAGGGGGTTGTTTCAAGTGCAACTGGCTGCCCCTCTCCCCAACCTTTGACAATCTTTCCCCTTTCTCAGATGGGAGCAAGGCAGAGGCCGAGGTCTCCCCTCCCTCCCGTCCAACACTGTCTGAGCTTGTCTCTCCAGGGGGAGGCCGCATTGCGGCTGGCTCCAGCCTCTGCCCCCAGGCCACGCACAGAGCCTGGGAGGGGGGCGTTCCCTCTGAGGAGCTGCTCAGAGCCTAGGGGATGGTCAGAGGCTCTGGCTGTGTTGCAGGGTGGGGGCCAGGGGAGACAAGGGTACAGGGCACTGGTATCTCTCCACAGCAGCCACTGGGCACAGGTACCAGTATCTGTCAGACAGCTTGGATCCTATTAATAGGAGCTAGTTAGTATAAACAGATTCTCATATGCGGTGTTGTTGTAGCCCTGTCGGTCCCGGGACATGAGAGAGACAAGGTGGGTGAGGTAATAGCTTTAATTGGACCAACTTCTGTTGGTGAGAGAGACGAGCTTTCCAGCCATCGACCACACCCACCTAGTCTGTCAAACAGATTCTCAGCTATTAGTGGGCAACAGCACCATCCAGTGGCTGGTGTGGTAAATCCCAGGGGATTATTTCCTGTGGAGATTGCAAAGTGTATTCCCTATGGAGCGCCTAGGGAAGGGATCCTAGGGGTATAATCCCAAAGAAGGTCCTAGGGAAGGGATCTTGGGGCATCGTCCCTATGACGATTCCAATGTTAAATACCCAAATGCAACCCCAGGCTCATGTTTCCTCAGACCCCTTTGCTTGTCAGCGTGCATCATGGGCTATTTCGCCAAGCGTTGACTCCAGCCGTAACTCAGCCCCTCTGCCCCCTGAGCTTGAGTAGTGAGGGGAAGGGTGCATGGGGATCTGGGGTTCAGAACAACGCCAGGGGGCTCATGAAACAAGGGAGCCTGCAGATGAAGGGAAGGGGTTAGATGATGCTGACTCCCATCATTTCAGGAAAGGGTGAGAACCTGCTGGGGGGTTGGCGGGGGACCAAGTCCTGTGAATTCCCTGTCCTGTTATCTTTCTCTCCCCTCTGCTTTTCCTCAACGGTACTGCCAGTGCCTGGGAAGTCCCATAAGCTATTCCATGGGGCCACATGGTGTGGGGTGAGCTGGGGGGCTATACTTTGCCAGGATCGCAGCTCCCGTTCCATCCCCAAGGGGAGGAAAGGAGATGGAGAATAAGGGGGGTGGGTGAAGGGGTGGGGGGTTGCTGCTGCTGGTCTCCTGGAAGGAGAAACTCCTGTTGCCTGGGGTGGGGTTGGGGGTGGGTTCCAGGGGGTGTGCAACACAAGCTCCTCCCGCCCCACAGTGACCCCCAGCCTTGGGGTGGGGGAGGAAAGGTTTGCACAAGAGGACTGTTCTGAGGGGATGGGAGGGGGAACAGCCCGCCCCTCCTCCCCGCCGCTGGCTGGCGAATGGGAAGGACAGCCAGCGAAGTACACACATACCATGGCTGAAACGAGCAGATCTAACCTTATCTTTGCATGATGATTTGACTGTATTTTTCTGAGCAAACACCTGTTGTGTATGTGCCAGTTCGTTGAGATTTAACCCCTTCCCTCTCCCTGGTCCCTCCCCTCCCCACCCTCACCCCGTTGTGATTGGACGAGAGACTTAAGATCTTTGGAGGGAGCGGACGCCAAAGAGAACCCAAGCCGGGTGCCCCAGCTGAACGATGCCCCAGCCCTTCACTCTGCACCTATCCAGCCCCCTCATCCCATCCCCTGCAAGTTTCCTAGCTCCTGGTTAGGGTAGTGGCTACATCACGGTCAGGTGTGATGGGCCTGGCCCTGCAGCCCTTGCTCACTCTTGTGGTCGTTAGCCCCTCCTCCTCCGGCCCCTACGGTTGTCAATAGAGCCACTTGCATGAGCAAGGCCCCCAGCATCTGCTCCAGCCTGAACCCACGAGTGAGGCCTGTCAGTGGAGAGGCAGAGGCTTGGTTTGGGGTGACAGGGAGTGCCCCAGCTTTGAGGACCCCTCTGATGTCTTCAGGCCTGATCTCTGAAGTCAATGGAAAGACTCCTGCTGACTCGAGTGGGCTTTGGGGCCGACCCTTTCCATCCCCCCCTCAGATAGCTGGCAGGGCGGAGCTTGGCCGGGGTGCACTGTGTGGTGGAACTGCTAATGCCTTTGGGATGGAGGGGTGTGTTAAGGGGGCCGCCCTGAGTCTCCTGCCCTGTCTGCAGTTCCTGGACCTCCCACTGCCAGGCTGTGAAACCACTCAGAGGAAAGGGTTTCCTTGGGGCAGACTCAGAGCCTGAAGCTTATGGCTAGTTTCTTGCTTTGTTTCTGTGCTGGTGGAGAGAACCCAGGATTCATTGCAGGGAGGACAGGAATCTCCGCTCAATTGGAAGGAGCAGAGCTGGATTCCTGGGATGGACGCTGGGTGCAGCCCCCCCCCCCCTCCCCCGGGAGAAGGGGAAGAACTGGATTCCTGTGCCCCTGGGATGGACTCTGAACCCTAAGTGGATTGCTGTTCCCCTTGCAAGTGATGCTAGGTTCAGCCCCCGCTTGTGCTGTAATGTTCCCTCCTCGCTGCCCTGCGTCCTATGTCGTACCATTCCTCCCGAGGCAGGTGTGAAATATTCATGAACAACAAATGAAAATTAATGTCAAGAAATGCTGGCTGAGGCGGTGTCCATGTGTTTGCAATGCTAATCAGCGCCCCTGCCCGCCAGAGTCTCTCTGAGGCAGCTCGCAAGGAGAAGGGGCACAGGGGAGCGGGGGTGGGCAGCAGAAAGCAAGTGGAGGGATGGGTGGGAGGGGTCAGATGGATGGGATGGATGGATGGGAGGGGTCAGAGAGAGGAGCGAGGGATGAGACGAGACAGAAGGGAGGGAAAGAGAGATGAGGGGGAAGGTGGCGGAGTGGGGGTGGAGGAGTTGGAGCAATGGAGGGGAGGTGGAAGGGGAAGACGGGACAATGGAAAGGAGAGAAAAGGGTGGGGATGCTGGAGAGGAGGAAGTGGGTGGGGGCAAGGAAGAAGGGTGAGGTTGACAGAGAGGAGGAGGAGTTGGGGTGATGGAGGGGAAGGGGTGACAGTATACAAAGGGAGGATAAAGGAGGGATGGCAAAGATGTAGAGATGGGACTAGAGGAGGGGTGTCAGGTGAGGAGGGGAAGTGACAGGGCTGGGATGGACTGATGGAGAGGAGAGAACAAAGAGGGAAGAGAGGATGGAGGAGACTGAAGTGACTGAATGGAGGAGCAGATAGGATATCTGAGAGGCAGCAGTGGAGGATGAGGCTGGGTCGATGGGGTGGCTCTGGCCCCTCTCTGTGGGTACTGTACCACTTCCTAGTAGGGCTGGACACAGGCAGCAGCGTGGCAGGGAGCTGGCACTTAGAGCAACGGGCCAAGTGGGGACATTCACAGCGCGCATCACTGGAAGGCTAGCCCAATCGAACTATG